GTTTTAAGGCTAAAGGGGTGGGGCTTCAGTATGTTAGGGCTTAGGGTGTTGGGGTTCAGTGTTTAAGGTTGGGGGTTTAGGATTCAAGGCTAGGGTTTTAGGTCCCGAAACGGGCGGTTTGCCCTATGCTGCACTTCTGCCGCCCCCAAAGCCGCGGCTCCGCCAGCAGTGGCTCCGCCGACAGCAAACTCCGCTTGGACGCGGCCGCACCCCGAAGGAGCAGCAGAAAGCAACCTGGAGCCAGTCTTCTTGACTCGATGTGAACTGCAGGACTGCAGAAACAGACCTTTAACTGCCACCCCTGGGAAGGGCTCGAGTCCTCATTAAGTGGCTGGAACCCCCAACACCCAGGGAGAACCGAGACCTGAAGTACGGAAGCAAGGAATGGAGACCTCCACAAACCTCAAAAGCAGCAAGAAACCCACCCTCCACGCCCTGACATCCATGAACCCATGGTACTCCACTGAGCATCCCCGACCCACGACATGCATCCAAGCTCATATAGGACTGTCTTGGGCGATGGTCATTTGGGGTCATGCCGCGGGGCTGTTCTCAATTACGGTCCCTTTGAACGGGTTCTCTCTCTGTTGAACTCACCTTATCGGAAGCTAACAGTGGACAACCAGATCATGGTGGGGGACTCGCAAACTCGTCTGCATTGCACACTCTCCCGAGCCACCAGCCCCATCAGACAAAAAGAAAAAACTAACACCCTGATGCCCGAAACCCTCAAGCCAGAATCCCTGAGCCATGGGCTTCCTCCTGTGGCCGCGAATCTGATCCTAGACCCCTGAAGCTGTGAACCCGAACTGTCTAGAAGCTGAATCTAGGACCCAACCTAAAACCCTAAACCCCAAAACCCGAAAGACACCACAACTCCAAAACTCCAAAACCCTAAGACCCTGAAGCCCCAACCTTCAAAGGGCCTGCGCTTGCACAGGAGCTTTCCACCAGGCTGGGATCGGCGATGGCATAGGCAGAGCTCGGGTCCAGGCTGCCCTGCCATCGAATCCTGGGCGTTCGGGGGCCGACTTTGGGGGCCGACTTTGGGGGCAGTCGAGGGTTCGGAAATCAAGACGGTTTAGGGTTTAGGGTTTAGGGTTTAGGGCAAGGGCCTGGGGCCTGGGGTTTGCAGGAGTTTAGAATTTAAAGGGGTTTCGGGTAGGGGTTGAGTTTTGGAAACTTCCTTCTAGGGGCTTTGAGAGCATTTGGCTTTGGAAGGCCTCAGCTTGCCGACCTAAGAAGCTGCTGAAGCTTGCTAGATTCGAGGAGTCAGGGTTTTGAATGGGTTTGAGGTGTCGGCTTTTTGCTTCTTGTTTCAAAAGTCTGGCAGTTGAGGTTGCAGAACGTGTGTATGAGTATGATGTATCTTTAAGTACATATCTATATCTATATCTATCTGATCTATATCTATGTCGAAACATATGGCTTGCATACGCATGTATCCATGCATGCATGCAACCTAAACAAGAGGCGTGTTATTAGCAAGTCTTGCTGCTTCGCAGAACCCTCCGCCTCGATCCCTAATGAAGAACCCTTACAGTACCCTTATACTCTTATATTGTCCCAAACCCTTCGACAACCCCAGGCGGAATTCTAAACGCTCAGACCCACGGTACCCAAACCGGTAGGCCTAGGCCTAGACTGGCCAGAAAAGCTCGAAGCCGTTGCCGGCAGTTGCTGCCCAGGCGCCAGTCAGAGGTGACCCCCTGGCAAGGGAGATCTAAACCCTAAACACTAAATCCTAAACCCTAAACCCTAACCCCGAAGAAGATCAGCCTTAACGGCATCCTCCCAGACGTCGAGCTCAGGCTTTGGGGGTCTTTGAGCTCGATTATGCTCTGTTCTCTTTCGGTTAGATTCTATTCTACTATATTAAAGCATACTAAACTATACTATGCTATACTATATTATACCAAAGGGGTGAAGTCGGCTTACATGGCATCGGATTGGAGGAACTTGGAGACGATGGTGACAACTTGGGAGTGAACTCACCTCGCCTCCTCCGCCGTGTCTGGGCGCATGCATTCTGCGACTTTTTGGTTCGGAGATGGGTTTAGGGTTTAGGGCTTAGGGTTAAGGATGTCTTTGCTGTTGCCTGTCCGTCGTCCGTGAGTCTGGCCATCGTGCTTCAAGCACGACTCCATGTCACACAAACATCTCCTTGAAATCTTTTAGCCACAGCAGTCGTGAAAAGTGGTGCCGCGAAACAACTGCTTGACTCCCGTTCGGATTAGGCCTTGGTGCTTAGGAAAGGTTGTTGTCCGGTGTAGCTTCTGAGCAGTACGGCCACTTGCTTACGGAATTTTGTGACTGTGAATACCGCTCTGGCTTCGACTGACAGTGGAATGATTCTGGCGAGATACATCATTGTGGCGTGTCTACGAAAAAAGTTGACACGGTCCTATCCTGATTATCGGCGCAATCGCCACTGGTGTAGGCAAAAACCTTGCTTGTGACATGTACTGGCACCATCTGGGACGGTGCTGCAGCAAGACCCTGAGCCGCGAAACCCTGAACCTCACACCCCGGAGCC